TTTGACTATATCTTAGACAAGTAAAATTGGTGGAATCAGCTGTCTTTAATGAATATTGGCTTAATGGGTTCATCTGTGATCTTTTTCTTTATCTTTCAAAGGCTAAAATTTATTTCTATGAATTTGGGGTTGTAGTTGATAATTTGTATAGTCTAGTTTCGGCTTCGATTATAGTCATTTAAGGTATTTGTCTTGGCTGATAAGCAATTGGTGCAGTTTCCAATTCCATGTCTAAAACGTTGCCACTTCTGCAACATTGTTTAAAGGTCAGGATGGTTTCCATTTTGCGGAGAACCTGTTAGCAGTTTATCATCAATTGGTAATGTAGTCAGCGTCCTAGGTTTTTTCTTGGTGTAGTAGCAGTTTGTGGAACAGATGCAGGGAATTGGAGCTCCTGATGCCAGGGGGTGTTAATTTGTTATTTTAGGCCAGTTTTGGTTTCTTAATTCTTTCTTCGGTTAACATTTAGATGTTATGCATTATTAGTTCTTGAGATGACTGTAGAATTATCAGTTATGACATACTAGTATTCATGAGAATAATTTTTTACATCAGGATCACAGCCTCAAACAGCATCAGAAGCTGATCTGACTTTCTTTTCTAGCTTAAAGGCTTCTCCTGCAACTGTTGGAGGGAAAGCTTCTCTTCAGCCCAAAAGAACGCCTGTCTCCAATGATGAAATTGAGGCCATTCTGGTATGTAAAGAGTCATTCTAAGGTTAATGCTTGGATTATTTTGCTGAGTTGATGAATGTTTACTGCATCCCTTTTTTATGAACCACTTACTGGACATGGAACATTACTTTTAAATTTTAATGGATGAATCTAAGCCTTGAAGCATGTTGCTGTTCTAGTATTTTTCCAGTTTGCTTCAGAAGTCAGTAATTGTAAATGGTGCTATCATATAGATCTTAGTTTGATTCTTAGTTATATCAGCATATAAGCCAAGGAGTTTGGTATTTCCTTGGAGATGGGTGTAAGAAAGGATTGATATTTAATGTTTCCACTCTGGTTATATTAGCAGCTGGAAACTGCTTGTTTGATGTCTCACTTTTTCAATTGTTTCTCAATTCTCACATAGGAAAAAAAAAAAAAAAGGAATCCTATTTTAGTAGTGCTGAGCATGTTAGCCAATCCTACAGAATTATGATCACA